TATTTTAGCCTACTTGCGAGTAGCAAAACTCAAACCATTTTTCCGAACAAACGGATATGCAATGCTTTATTCCAAATTAGGCGATCTAGTCTATACTTGTTTTGCTGTACACATCACGTAGTAACTCTAGCTAATTAACCGGAATAAGAACACATGTGTTTTCAAAAATAAGATATCATGTTTAGTAGTGGCCGATCTTTGATCGGGCGAGCGAGGGTGCTCATAGCTGACCTTTCCCAATCGTACCCAAGTTCCCGAGCCGAGGCAACTTTGGTGATAACGGACACGTGGCCTTAGGCAACGAGTCAGGGTTTCCTAAATTTCTCAAAAATAAAATATTTAGGTGGCAACTCTTTATCTGGCAAAGCAGTCCATGTTTGGCACTTCTTTCTCAAAAATCTATTTTTCAAAACGATTTGCTGGATTTGGACTCTTTGGTGATTTATCAATCTCACATCGCACATTGTGAGATCAGATTAAGAATCGTGACAATTTGAGTCCGAACTGTAGTGAGCCCAAATGAACAGAACGGGATTCCCTCCCGGGACGTTCGGGGACGTCTACAGTGACCGAGCTCCGTGGTTTGCCTTCACGACCGAGGTGGTCTGGAACTCTTCACGACCGCGCTTCCACTTACACTTGCCATCATTTTCCTGCAAAGTCCAAGGGGACCACTGACCAATTACCGAGGCTCTCAAAGACTGAGCAGCCATTAAACTCCAGTCTGCCAAACCACCTCAGCCGAGCTAAACCAGTTGGCTACACATGGGGCGCTTCCACTTCCTTGTTGATACTCCGGCTGCCTTGGCCGTATTCCGGGAATAATATGGTATCCCGGCCGACGTCCACCTAGAGCTTGGCGAAATTGAGACAACCCCTTGGGGCAGATTAGACCAGTGCCCCTTCACCGTGCTATCCATCATTGAAGGAGGCCTCCGCTTCCCGGTCAACCCACTGATGACCGAATTCTTGTGCCGCACTGGGCTAGCACCCACTCAAGTCTCAACCAACACTTACCGAATAATCAACGGGGTCCACGAGTTGAACAACAGGCTAGGAACTAACTTAGGTTTAGCCGAGATACTCCGTCAATACACCCTTGGGCACATGGGCGACGGCTTTGCCTATTACTTAAAAATTCGACCGGGCAAAGAAAAATAGTGTCCGGCACCCCAGACAAGGACTTACACGACGACAACTTTTTCTGGGTGTCTGGCAACTATGAAACGGCCGACGTACCGGGTTGGTTTATTAGCAAGAACTTCGCCGAGACATGTAAGCCGTGCCAACTGCTCGGTCAATTTATCTTTACTATTCTGTACTTGACACTTTTCTTCTTTCCTTTGCAGCGATCCAAGCCTTGTAAGCCCACTACCACTACCCCAACGAAGCAGCCATCAGGACCGTGCTCCGTTACCGCAACCGGGATTGTAACGAGCTTCTCAGCTACACTCCGACATATCGGTATTCAGCTCTGTGCCGGAGTAAAGTTATTGACTTTCTCCACGCTTCATCTCCGCCTCCAGATCCCACACTGCCGGATGTCCCTTTCATCCGTTTGACCGAGGCAGAAGAAATGGCAAAGAGAAGCCGTATCGAGAACCTACTCACAACAACCTCCAGCGAGATATCGAGCATACTAACCCGCTCTCCTGCTATCGGTCAATCCAGCAGGGCCGTGGTGGCGTTGGCATCTCCCGCCGCCAGGCAAGCAAGCCAAGACATCTGCCGCGTTGGGAAAAGGCCTCGTGTAGACCCATCTACCGAGCTGGTTGCGGAGCTCAATACTGTGCAACCTGCCATCACGGTCGACCCAACGCCCTCGTGGAAACCGCAGTTCAAACACCGGGGCAAGGAGATCTCGGCAACAGCTTCTGTCAAAGGCGACAAAGAGCATCTGCTCTCCTTTGACCTCACCAAAGTGCTCCTGCTACCGAGCGACGTGGTTGGCAGTGACCATGTGCCAGACACCCGGTTGGTGAAGTCGTCGGTCAAATCCATGACCAGGGTAAGAATCTCAAACTTCCCTCAAAATTTCTCAAGTGTTTGTTCGGTTTCCTTTCTAACCAAACTTTCTTCTTGTAGGCCATCCAGAAGCAGCACTTGGTCATGAAACGCATTCACCGACTCCGGTAGAAGGCTAATGATTCTGCCAGCCAGGTTGCAAGCCTCTAAACCGAGCTCGAGAGAGCCCAGTCTTCATTGCAAATAGCGAACTCCAATAACTCTCGGTTGCTCGGCCAGCTTGGCTCTACCGAGAAGGAGAGAGACGCGTTGCGGGTCGAGCTAGATGCGCTGAAACAATCACGGGAAGAGGATCTGAAGGGTGCAAACAACACCGGTTTCCTTGAGGTCGAGGAGAGTTACACAAAGCAGGTCCGCGCCACCTAAGACATTTTCTTCAAGGCTGGGTGGAAGTCTGCTTGTGAACATCTCGGCCAGGGACCGGGGACCAACGTGTTCGCCACTCCTCCAGCTGCCTCCCTACCGAGCTATCTCGTGCCTTACGCCAACGACGTCTTTGTCGCGTTGCAGGTTGAGGCCGAGGAAAAAGGCGACGAGGAACCGAGGAAAATGCGGAGGGGAAAATCACACAGTTCAGCCCGGCCAAACGGAGACCGGTGTCCAAAACCAAACACCAACGGTCAAACTGGAGGCAGCCGAGGACGAATTCACTGACCTTTCCCCCCTAGCTTAGTTTTCTTTGTCTTCTTTCTCCCTTTTTGGTTTACACATGTAACCGGGCTATCCGCCCCTTCTCTTGTAATTACTTTTCACATCAATGAAAAAGTTCCGTTTTCTTCAAGTGTTTGTATGGTCTTCAAACGAAATAGCTTCAACCGAACAAAATACCTCGGTAAGACTAACCAGCTTGAGTAACCAGAGTAAAACAGCGCGGTTAAAGTCTCAAGAAGTTGAATAAATCGCCAACTTAGTTAAACATCTCGGTTTTAAACAAAAAGTTGAGCAAATCATCAACACAATTAACTAGAGTAAAACATCTCGGTTTTAAACTAAAAGTTGAGCAAAACATCAACTCATTCAACCGGAGTTAACATCTCGGTTGAAGATCTAAAAGTTGAGCAAAACATCAACTCATTCAACCGGAATTAACATCTCGGTTGAGAATCTAAAAGTTGAGCAAAACATCAACTCATTCAATCGGAGTAAGACATCATGGTTAAGAATCTCAGTTGATTTGATCGTCGACTCAATGAACCGGAGTAAATCATCTCGGTTTTAATCTCAAAACCAACCGGAGTAAAACATCACGATTGAGAATCTCAAAATTGAAAAGCAACAATCAGAATGCTAAGGCAAAGATGAGACACTTCTATATATTAACAAAAAGAATATTACATTCGGAAGTGTAAGGCAAAAAATTCATTTGCACAAAAAGAAAACAAAAGCTAAAAATAGTACAGTTTGAGGTTGGCCGCATTCCATGGCCAGGGTATTCCTCTGCCTTCCAAATCCTCCAAGTGGTATGCCCCCTTGCCCGCCAGACCGATTATCTTGTAGGGTCCTTCCCAGTTTGCCCCTAGTTTGCCTTCACCTGGCACCAGGGTATTGCCCATGACCTTCCTCAAGACCTAGTCACCTACTTTGAACGGTCTGGGGTGCACCGTTTTGTTGTATTTCCTTGAGAGCTCTTGTTGGTAGGCGGCCACATAGATGAGAGCCTTTTCCCGACGTTCTTCCACGAGGTCCAATTCCAGGGCAATGGCTTCGGCGTTCAGTTCGGGCTCAAAACTTTCACTTCTGAGGGTGGGCATTCCAACTTCCAAAGGTATGACCGCCTCCATACCATATGCCAAAGCAAAAGGTGTTTCCCCGGTAGATCGCCGCGGGGTTGTTTGGTATGCCCAAAGGACGTTGGGGAGTTCCTCGGCCCATTTTCCCTTGGCTTTCTTAAGCCTCTTCTTCAACCCATCAAGGATGGTCGTGTTTGATGCTTTGGCTTGGCCATTAGACTGGGGGTAAGCCGGGGTAGAGTTGTAGAATTCAATCTTCAAGTCTTCATTAAATCCTCTGAATAGGCGACCGTCAAATTAGGTGTCGTTATCAGGGATCAGAATTTTTGGAACGCCAAAATACGTTACCACATTCTGCCAAACAAACCGCTTGACGTCTTTCTCCTTGATTGTTGCCAAAGGCTTTGCTTCAACCCATTTGGTGAAGTAGTCTATGGCTGCGATGAACAACTTTCGGTTGCCTGGTGCAGTTGGGAGTGGCCCCACTATATCGAGCCCCCACATCGCAAAGGGCCAAGGGCTGGTGAGAGGAAGAAGTTCTCTGGCCGGTTGGTGAATTTGGTAGGCAAACTTCTAGCACTTCTCACACTTGCGAACATACTTCTGCGGGTCGGCTTGCATGCACGACCACCAGCAGCCTTGCGAAATAGCTCGGTAGGCCAAAGATCTGCCCTCTATGTGACTGCCACAGATGCCTTTGTGAATTTCGTACAGGAAGGCGTCCACGCTGCTCGGGTGCACACACTTTAGATAAGGACCGGTAAAAGACTTCTTGTATAAAGCGCCTGACGGAGAGAGCCAAAACCGCTCTGACTTCACCCGGACTTTATGTGTTTCCTTCTTCTCGGTAGGAAGGGTCCGGTCTCTGAGAAAGAGGATAATAGGGTTCATCCATGAAGGACCTAACTCGGCGCGGAGTACTTCTGTCTGCCCAGTTTCCTCAATGCTGGGCCGCGGAAGGAATTCAATCAGGAGAGGGTTGGGAGATGTGCTATCGACCATGGAAGCAAGGCCGGCCAATTCATCTACTCGGCCGTTTTCTTCTCGGCCAATCTGTTGGACCCTTATTGCCTGGAATCGTTTGATGTGGTCTCTGACCAGAGCCTGGTACTTCATTATTCTGTCATCCTTTGCTTCGTAAACCCCAGAAACTTGGTTAATCACAAGCTGGGAATCACTATAAACCATTAGCTCGGATGCTTGCAACAAAAAGTTTCCACATTTCGCCAACAAAGAGCTTCCAACAGTCTGAGGGGTCCTGAGAGGCTTGAAGATTGACGGGATCATGGTTGTTAGGCTGTTCGGCTTCAAGTTCTGTGCTGAGCGGTTCCACTTCAACCCCCCTCGGCGATTCTGCGCCGGACTCAGCAAGTTGATCCGTAATGCCTAAGCCCATAGGCGAATCACCGGGTTGCAATATTATGCCGGTTGCAGGCTCTGTGCTAAGCGGTTCCACTTCTTTCCCCCTTGGTGATGCGGTATCGGACGGAGCAGGTTGGTCAGTGATACCTAACTCCGTTATTGCATCGTCGGGCTGTGGTATTGTATTAACCGAAGGTTCTTCGGTGGGGCGCACAAGTTCCACGTCGCCGTCATCGCCTAGCTGTGTTATTGCGGTCTGGCTTGCATTTACCTCCTCATTTGCCGTGGCAATATCCACCGGGCATACTGGATGAGTTCCAGGTGAGAATTCAGCAACGAAGTCAGCCAATGTTTGAGCTTTGATGGCAGTTCGTGGCTAGAATTTGACGTCGAATTATCCCAATTGAACCACCCACTTGAGGATTCGACCGGAGAAGTCCGCCCGTTCGAACAAAGCTTTGAGGGGGAACTCGATCAAAACGATGATTGTATGGGCATGGAAGTAGTGCGCCAATTTTCTGGAGGCCATCATCAATGCCAATGCAAGTTTTTCCAGCGGCAAGTATCTCAACCTTGCCGGTAGCAAGGTTTTGCTAACGTAGAAGATAGGGAGATGCTTGATTCCTTCCGACCGGATAAGCACCGCACTAACTGCATGCTGTGAAACGACCAGATAAAGGTAGAGCTCTTCGCCGGGCTTCGGTGTTACCAACAGCGGCGCTGAAGACAGATACTCCTTGAGCTCGGCCAAAGCCCGGTCACATTCTTCATCCTATGAGAACTTTGATTTCGGAGCTTGAAAGAAGGGGCGACAACGATCTGATGATCGGCTTATAAATCAGTTAAGCACAGTGGCCATTCCGGCCAGATGCTGCACGTCCTTAGCCGAGCTCGGCTGCTGTAATTCTTGTATGGCTCTGATTTGTGTAGGGTCTACCTCGATGCCTCGGTTCGTGACTAGGAAGCCTAAGAATTTTCTGGATCCCACGCCAAAGGCACACTTGGGACGCATTCAGGTGTAGCTTGTGTTGTTTGAGAATGGCGAACATCTCGGCCAAGTTGGACAAGTGGTCTGCTTGATGCCGGCTCTTAACCACCATATCATCTATATAAGCCTCCATTGTCCGGCCTAGCAGAGGAGCGAACATCTTGGTCATCATCCTTTGAAAAGTTGCCCCGGCGTTCTTCAAACCAAAAGTCATGACTCGGTAGTAGAAGAGTCCCCTTGGTGTAGTGAATGAGGTGATCTCGCGGTTGGGGCCATGCATGGTAATCTGATGATAACCGCGGTAGGCATCTAAGAAACTGAGCCTGTTATGTCTAGCCGTTAAGTCCACAAGCTGGTCTATTCTGGGCAGCGAAAAGCTGTCTTTAGGGCAAGCTCGGTTGACGGTCTTATAGTCGACACAAACTCGACACTTCCCATTCTTCTTTGGTACAAAAATTGTGTTTGAAATCCACCGAGGGTAGTGCACTTCCTGAATAGCTCGTGCCTCAAGCAAGTTCTTCACTTCCTCTGCAACTACCTCGGCATGATGCAGCGCCGAAAGCTGTCTTTAGGGCAAGCTCGGTTGACGGTCTTATAGTCGACACAAACTCGACACTTCCCATTCTTCTTTGGTACAACAATTGTGTTTGAAATCCACCGAGGGTAGTGCATTTCCTGAATAGCTCGTGCCTCAAGCAAGTTCTTCACTTCCTCTGCAACTACCTCGGCATGATACAGCGCCGATCTCCTTGTTCGCTGAATGACCGGCTTGGCTCCGGGGAAGACGTTTAGGTGATGGCAAATAAAACTCAGATCGAGGTCGGGCATGTCATAAGGCGACCATGCAAAGACCTCGATATTGGCCATCAGAAACTCAACCATCTTGGTCCTTTCTTGTGCGGTAAGGCTTGAGCCAAGCAAGAAGAACCTATTCGGACTCTCTGTATCAATTCGCACTTCGACCAATTCTTCGACGGCTTTGTCCTTGGCCCTAGTGCCCACATTGTCAAGGACTCCTTGGTCTTCCGGTCCCTCTATCATTTGGATGAAGCCTTTGGCAGCTCGGCTCCCGTTGACTGCCACGAAGCATTGTTTCGACATGACTTGATCGCCCCAAATCTCCTCAATTGCCCCGTAGCCGAGGGAAATCTCATCACCTGATGGAAGGTCGACGCTACGGCTTGCATAACGTGAAGCCATCCCCTTCCAAGGATCAGGTTTTAAGTAGATGGCACTTGCAACACCCAAAACTCCACTTGCTTGACTATGGATCCCGCTTTGACCAGCAAGATAATTTTTCCCAAAGGCCACTCAGGTTGTGAGTTGAAACCAACCAGTGGCGAAGTTGCCAGAGCCAAGTCTGTATCCCGGAGCTTGAGCTATTTGAATGCGTCGTAATACATGATCTCGATCGAGCTTCCCTGATCAATCAAGATGCGTTTAATATTGAATTCTTTGACGTGGAGTGTGACCACTAAGGCATCGTTGTACGGCGTCTGAATGCGCTCTAGGTCCCTTGTAGAGAAACTGATCACGTCTTTTTCTTCGGTCTTGCCCCTTTTGATCGCGGGCTGAACCGACAAAACTTCCCTCATGTGCTTCACCTTTTTGATCATATCTCAGAGTTCACAAACACGCGCCGGTTCCACAATGTCGTGGATCACATTAATCACTCCTTGAGGGGGTGCCTCCAAGTCACTCGGTGCACGCGAATCAACCGGGGCTTGATTTGCCTTCACGCCCCCGTCAATGTAAAGGTCCAGGTGTCCGGCTGTGACTAGCTCTTCCAAGTGGTGCCTCAAAGGCAAACAGTCCTCTGTTCGGTGGTTGCGCTCCTGGTGAAATGTGCAATGGTACCGCGGATTGAAACCCTTCTGTCCGTCGCCTAACTTAGCAGGAAATCGGACATAATCCTCGTCACGGATTTCACTAAGTATGCGATAAATTGGAATCTTAAAAATCATGGTAATGCCTGTCTTGGCTTTTAACCTTCTGTTTGCATCAGCGACGTCATCCTGGGGGTAGTCATCTCGGTCATTTCGACGACCCCTACCCCGGTTTTTGTGATTTGAGCCACGGTCTGATTCCTCTGCGCGATCATTTGAACGGTTTGCCTCCTGTCCGACCGCGTGTACCTTGCTAGCCGACCTCTTGTCTATTGCTACCGGTGTTGCCTTCACGGTAGATGATGCCGCATCATCTTCTACTTGGATGTGCTCATTGATGCGCTGCATTAGCTGGCCCATGGATGTCGGCTGGTGCATCGTAAGCGAGTCCCGCAGTCTATGTCCGACTGGGAGACCACGCTTGTACTGCGTGATTGCAAGGTTGACCAGGCAATCCAAGATCTCGTTGAAGGTTTCCCAGTATCTGGAGTTGTATGCCTTGAGCATGTCGCTCGGCTCCATCTTGACACTGAGAAGGTGGTCAACTTTCTTCGGCGTCTTAGTGTTGGTTTTGAAACGCGTCACAAAGGCTTTCGCCAACTGATGCCACCTTTCTATGCTCCCCTCCAGCAGCCTCTCAAACCATTTCAAGCCCAGCTCGCCCAAGCTTGACGAGAAGATAAGGCACATAAGGACGTCATTTCACCTATGTCCGACCATGACCTGTCGGAAGTGGCTTACATGCATATAAGGATCGGTTTTTCCATCGTAGAGCGTGAACTTTGGCTGGTAGAACCTTGCCAGAAGCGGTGTTGTTTCTATCTCCAGGGAGAAAGGGGTGACGCTCAGCCTTGCCAAATCTGTGTCTAGAAGGAGTGGCACAGCTAGGCGGGATGGAGGCATTCCGACCTCTTCACTGGTGTGAACCTCATAAGATAGCCGCTGGAACGCCGGCACCCTCTGAGCCTCTCGCCGGCGAGCCCGCTCCTCCAAGACTACCCGCAAATCCTCTGAATGAGCGGAATAAGAATATCTCGATGTCGTCACCGGACGTGAGGGTTGATAGGTGCTGTCTTGCGCGCTGGACTTCTCTACGTGCGCGTCGGAATCTCCAACCTTGTAACTTCTGGTGATTGAGATGGACGGAGTACGCTGCTGGCTCTGACTGCCTGAACGGCGGGGTTGGGTGCACTCACTGTGGTCTTCCACTCCAGCTACACCCTTCCCTTTGACATGCCGCTTAAGATCCTCCATCTCCGCCGCCATTCGCTGAATGATGGCGTCTTGGTCCCTTAGCTTGTGTTCCAGTCGTCTGGCATGCGATTTTCTCCACCACCGGTGACCGTCTGGACTCCATGAATGACCAAAGCTCCTTCCGCGCTTATCCTGCACGTCTCTTGAATGTCCCCCTGGAGAAGTCTCCAGGTTCGCCATAGGAAGGATGGCGGGATATCCTTCCCTCAGTCTACCTGACTCCGGGGTAACTCCGTTGATGGCAGACAACGGAATCTCGTCGTTGTTCGCCATGGACGGCGATTAGATGAGCCTGGAAGACAAGGTTTTGTCTGTTAAGTTCCCACAGACGGCGCTAATTGTACGGGGAGCAAATATTTCGGCAAGCCTGTACTCCTTTCTTCCAAGCTCTTGCCTGTCCGATCGACTTACGAGCACAACGGCGGTGAGCTACCCGGCGGTGTGTGGCCGGAATTCCCCTCCAACGATCAAGTTAGACACACACAGGGATAGAGAGAGAGAGAGGATTGAGTGTTTAGTGTAAATCTCACCAAATGTTCATCTGTCTCCGCATGGGGGGCGCAGACTCGCTTATATACCTTCAGCGTCCCAAATCTACTCCCATTAGTCTCTCGACACGTGGTGCTGCTATCTCATCTGTCAGCGCAAATCTAGCTGAACATCACCTAACCAAACTGCCAGCCCACACTACTGAGAGCTCGGCAGCCGGGCTGCAGCATCTCGGCTGCCAAAGGCCGTGCTGTGTTACTAGCCAGAGCACTCCGCTCGCCAAGCTCAATGACGACCGAGCTCGGTTGCATTCTGGCATAGCCAAGCTCGGGACAGCTCATGCTGGTTAGCCGTCGGCCTTCTTGCCGGGCTAACCCACGAACCGTGGAACCCTGTGAGGCAGCGGACATCTTGGCCGAACCATCACTCGACCGGTTTTTGCACCCTGAAGCCAAGTAGCTCGGTCCAACCATGCCTTGCCTTTGCCGAGCAAAACCTTTCTGGACAGGCCCATGCTACCACGGCCCAACTGTGTTCGGCCCAAATTTGCCCGGCCATTACCACGACCCAATCCAGATTATAAATCTCCCTCTCACCCTTGATCCCAAAATAATAATTATTTTGGGGGAATTTAATTTTTTTGATAGTACAATTATTGCATTTTAAAAATATTAATTTTTCAAAATTATCCTTTGATTGTACATTTTTTTGGGAATATCAATTGCCATAATTGTACTTTTTATGTTATTGTGGGGGCCGAATAATTGTGTGTTGAGGAAGGCCAAAGAATTTGAAGACATCTACTTTAGTCAATTCGGCTCCATACAAAGAGATTTGGAGACATCTGGTCAAAGCCATCTGAATGTACAGTCGGCTATATGAAGAGCCAAATTGGAACCAGTACGCAATCAGAAGGCCGAGTAAGCCATCGAGTGCGAGATTAAAGGTGCGTCCAACCCATGGGCCCAAAGGGTAATATAAAAAGAGGAATGTCGACAAAAGAAAGGTATGTGAGAATGGATAACATAACTTGAGATAGAAGTAAACTTGAGAGCATACTAACTTGTCCGTTGGAGTGCTAATTGCGGCACCCCCGACCGGAGTGTTCATCCATTTTTTCAGGTAGTAATCAGGGAATCAAGGACGTCAGACTGGATACTGGAGTTTTCCAAACCACTTCTCTACAATTGGCGTCGTCTGTGGGAATATTCAAGCATATCTATGGCTGGTGTAACAGATGATCCTCCGGTAGTCACTGATGACATTACGCCAAGAGATGACATCACTCTAAGAAACATGCTTGGACCGAAGAATATCACCGCACGACGGGTCTTGAACTTCGACTCAATTACCCAGACCTCACCCTCAATATCGGTACAAGAGACAATGTAGACAATCATGGATCAATCAAAGCAAAATGAACAGTGTTTGGAAAACATGATGGTTGAAAACAAGCACCTGCACCAGGAGTTGGCCCTGGAGCTAGCCAAATCCCAGCAGGCCACATGCCACGACGAGGGTCGACCTTCAGAAAAGAAGGATGATCAACGATGTCGACTTTAAAAACACAATAATGACAGTGATTCTGATTCACCATCCCCAGAACCCAGAAAGAAGGGACGAGTCGATGTATCCAACTCATCCGAAGGAAGTCCGTATGTACGGCACAAGCGAGGGAGAAGAAGTGACGATTCGGATGAAAAAGACAAGCACGACCCTTTTGTGCAACAAATTGTAAGAGCTATGCTACTCAAGAAGTTCAAAACACCGTCATTCACCCTATATGACGGAAAATCAGAACCCATTAACCATATTCGTCATTATAAACAAGCGATGACACTGCATGCTGACGATGAAGCCCTCATATATCAAATGTTTCCGAGTAGTCTAGGACCGTTGGCCATCAGATGGTGCTATAAACTGGAGTCGGTATCAATTAAAAGCTTCCATTAACTCCAAAAGTCCTTCAGGCAAGATTCATCACTAATGAAATCCAGCCAAAGCAAGCCGATTCTCTTTGGGCAATGCAAATTAAACTAGAAGAAAACCTTTGTGAATATTTGGCATGCTATTGGGAATGCTTTAACCTATTAGACGATGCATGCAATGACTCCATGGCCATCACCGCCTTTAAAATAGGATTACATCCTGATAGTCCCTTCCGCAATTTGTTGACCAGACGGCCCCCCAAAACAGTTTGGGCGTTAATGAAGAAAGTTTAAGACTATTGTAAGATGGAAGACGATGCCCTGCGGGTCAAAGCCAGTAAGACGACTCCACCTGGAATCGTTCAGCTGATAAGCGCCGTGCCATCAGGGAGCCTCGGACTGTGGAACAGGGCTAAACGAGACAAAAGGCGTGACTCGTGCCGATTAAGTGATCAGTGTTCACACCGATCAAATGAACAATATCAAGTGGATAGCAGGTGCATAAGACGCTCGGACAAAAAGTACACGGAGTTAGCAGAGCCGGTCAGCAAGATTTTGTTAAAAGTTCAACACCTTCCATTCTTTAAATGCTTGCCCAAATTGATAGGACCTCCTAATACAAGGAGAAGGGACAAATGGTGTGAGTACCACAAGGACCATGGTCATGATACCGACAATTGTTATGCACTGAAGGACCACCTGGAGGAACTGGTACAAGACGGCCGGCTGCTGCAATACATTTGAAAGAATAATCCATCATGCACGATAGCCCTACGGCCCGATTCACCTCCACTTGGTGCAATTCACATGATGTATAGCCTGCCATCATCAGCTGAGAACTAAACAATTCAGTTGCAAATTAACCTGCATAGGCCGATCACACCAGTAAAACGGCCCCATGAAACTGGGAAGATTAGTTTTGACAACACCGACTTGATTGGGGTAACTTTCTCCCGCACCGATCCCCTCGTCATCAAGTTACGTGTGAACAGATTCACCATTGAACGTGTTCTCATTGATCAGGGAAGCACTTCAGAAGTAATGTATTACAAAACGTTTGTTAAACTAGGATTCGCCGACTCGTATTTGTCGCTGGCTGATTACCCATTATTCGGCTTCAATGCCAACCTCGAGTATCCCTTAGGTAAAATCACACTACCAGTTCAGGCAGACACTAGATCAGTAGACGTAGAATTTCTGGTTGTCAAACTTCCTTCACCAAACAATCTCATCATGGGAAGAACTTGGTTGCATATCATGCAAGCTGTGCCAAGCACCTATCATCAATTTCTTCATTTTCCGACTGAGTATGGCATTGAAAACTTTTAGGGTCCTCTCATGTGTGTACATCACAAATATGTGGTTCAAAGTTCGAGAAAATGGGCCCAAGGTGTTCAACATTAGCCCGGAAGTGCGAAAAACGGGCGCCGGAGGGCGTCGGAGGATGTATAACTGGTTGCTGCAACAATTGCTGGCCTCCCACCCTTCAGTGACCTCTCCGGTGATAAAACAGAGGTACCTGCCAAAAATGAACGAAAACCGTTACAAAACGAAAGTTCGGGGGCCAAAACACGCAGTTCGAAGTCCCGAAAATGGGCTGTTAAGCACCGAAAGTGGCATTCGGCCACAAAGTGGGTTTCTCAGACCCCAGTGTCCCTAAAAAGGGAGCAAATAAGGAGTATGCCAAAAATTAGAACAAACGGAGGTGGTTAGGCGGTCCCGAACCGAGGCACACGGCCAACGGTCCCGAAAAACCGAAAACCGGACTCCGAAATGGGCAAAATGGCCTACGGCCACGAAATGTAGCCTGCGGACATTGAGAGATGGTCTACTGGACCTCTCCCTCCCCTCAGGAAAAGAAACAGAGAAAATCGAGTCTGGTTCGCAAACCGAGACAAGGTACAGAAGAGGGTTCGGAAGTCCGGAGGCAGGGCTCACGACCGCAACTCTGAAACTTCTGAACGAGTACATTATGCAACATCACCAAGCGCTCAATCAGTGACATCTGAGTCTTAAGGTCGGTCAAAAATGGGGTGTCTACAATAGCAGGTGCACAAGACGCTCGGACAAAAAGTACACGGAGTTAGCAGAGCCGGTCAGCAAGATTTTGTTAAAAGTTTAGCACCTTCCATTCTTTAAATGCTTGCCCAAATTGATAGGACCTCCTGATACAAGGAGAAGGGACAAATGGTGTGAGTACCACAAGGACCATGGTCATGATACCGACAATTGTTATGCACTGAAGGACCACCTGGAGGAACTGGTACAAGACGGCCGGCTGCTGCAATACATTTGAAAGAATAATCCATCATGCACGATAGCCCTACGGCCCGATTCACCTCCACTTGGTGCAATTCACATGATGTATAGCCTGCCATCATCAGCTGAGAAATAAACAATTCAGTTGCAACTTAACCTGCATAGGCCGATCACACCAGTAAAACGGCCCCATGAAACTGGGAAGATTAGTTTTGACAACACCGACTTGATTGGGGTAACTTTCTCCCGCACCGATCCCCTCGTCATCAAGTTACGTGTGAACAGATTCACCATTGAACGTGTTCTCATTGATCAGGGAAGCACTTCAGAAGTAATGTATTACAAAACGTTTGTTAAACTAGGATTCGCCGACTCGTATTTGTCGCTGGCTGATTACCCATTATTCGGCTTCAATGCCAACCTCGAGTATCCCTTAGGTAAAATCACACTACCAGTTCAGGCAGACACTAGATCAGTAGACGTAGAATTTCTGGTTGTCAAACTTCCTTCACCAAACAATCTCATCATGGGAAGAACTTGGTTGCATATCATGCAAGCTGTGCCAAGCACCTATCATCAATTTCTTCATTTTCCGACTGAGTATGGCATTGAATAAATTCGAGGTTCTCAGAAATTGGCACAGGCATGCTACCTTGTTGCTGCTGCAAGGAGACCGAAGGAACTGGAAGTGAATTCGATTGAAGTACCGAATCGGGAGAACCTCGAGGACATTGGGAAGATCCCCAGTGAAAAGGCAAATGAAGACATGGATCGGATCGAGATTGATAGGAGCCCTGACAAGTTCTTCATGATTGACACTTCTTTGAACAAAGTTGACAGGTGCGAGCTTGTATCCTTCTTACTCGACAACCTCGACGTGTTTGCGTGGACACCATACGAGATGCTAGGAGTGGATTAATTTGTGGCCCAACATCGATTAAACGTTGATCCAAAATGTAAGTCAATCATTCAAAAAGTCGGTGGTCAGCCGCGAAGTACACTTCGGCCGTTGTTGAAGAAGTTGACCAATTATTGGAAGCTGGGGCAATTCGCGAAGTAACCTATCCTACATGGTTGTCTAATACCGTGGTTGTAAAGAAGAAGAATGGGTCTTGGCGTGTTTGTGTGGACTTTACGAATTTAAACAAAGCTTGTCCCAATGACTATTTTTCCCTCCCCAAAATAGACCAACTCGTAGATGTAACGGCACATCATCAGTGCATGAGCTTCTTGGAAGCCTACAGAGGCTATCATCAAATTGCTATGCATCCGGAAGATCAAGAAAAGACTGCATTCATCACCCGAAAGGAACCTATTACTATAAGGTCATGCCTTTCGGGCTGAAGAATGCGGGGGCAACCTACCAGAGACTGGTTACTGCCATGTTCAAGGAACAACTCGGCTGCACCATGGAAGTATACATCGACGACATGGTGGTCAAATCCAAGGAAAAGCACACCCACTTAGCTGATTTGGCAGATACATTCGGCATTCTTCAAAAGTACAAAATAAAATTGAACGCCTCAAAGTGTGTATTCGGCATCGGATCCGAAAAATTCCTCAGCTACATTGTTAACCACCGTGGAATAGAGGCCAATCCAAGGTAGCTCACAACAATTCTAGAACTTGGCTCTCCTCAGTCGGTTAAAGAGGTTTAGAAGCTGATGGAATGACCGTCGCGCTCAACAGGTTTATCAGCCGTCCCATAGATCGCTGCCGACAATTCTTTCACACACTTCGGCAAGGCAAAGCCTTCGAATGGACCTCCGAGTGCCAGGCCGCTTTGGACAGCTTGAAAACTTATCTCCGATCAATACCACTCCTGGCAACCCCCTCGACAGGTGACCCGCTCATTTTGTATCTGGCGGTATCTAACCGGGCAGTCAACGCCGTACTTTTAAGGGAGGAACTCTGGGAGCAGTGACCAGTTTACTATGTAAACAAAGCAATGGCTGACGCTGAAACACGTTATCTACCAATGGAAAAGTCATCCTTGCTCTCGTTATGGTTGTAAGAAAACTGATGCATTACTTTCAGGGGCATACTATAGATGTACTAACAGACTATCCTCTTTGGTCGGCACTCCGTAACACGAAAGCATCAGGGCGCATTTTGAAATGGGCTTTAGAACTCGGCCAGTATGATATTGTAGACACCCCATTTTTGACCGTCCTCAAGACTTGGACGTCATTGTTTGAACACTCGATGATCATCCATGCTCGTGTTCATTTTGAGTTCCCAAAGGTCTCGGCTGCGCGCCTTGCCTTAGGATCTCTCAACTTGTCTATTTTGTGCTTGGTTGTGGACCAAGGACTTGTGTTTTTGCTTCTGAGGGAAGAGGGTGGCTTGTTGGCCATCCCCTCAATCCATCGGCTAAGGCATGATGCCATCGGCCTTGTTTTCTTGCCAT